GAATTTTCGTTATATCCGCAGTCGTTATTAGCGAAGTAACGTTGACTGTACCCAAAATTAGGCCTCGAAATACTCTCCTCTATACTGTTCGGCATGACAACCTACTTGTAGGACCAAATGCACCATTATGATTGGCGTAGCAACATACTCACAGAGCGTGGTAAAGTATGGTGGGCATAGCAACATACACCACTTTAGGAGCTGTTTCTGCACATTAGATGTTTGCAGGATGATGGCGTTTCTACGAATGCTGAAAACTCCGTCTAACTCAGTCTCAAGTGAACAGCAAATTTATATTTTCATTTTTATAGCAACGTACTCGCAGAGTTGAATGTTCTTTGTCTAGATATATTTGTCCGTGCACCCCGACCTTCATCACACACAACAACATGCGGGGTGTGCAGGCTTACTGCACAAGACTTCTTGCCAAAGAAAAACATCATGACAACTCACAACCGCATCAGGCAGCAACTAGCCAGGCAACAGCGGCAGCGTAACTAGTATCGATATGTGCCGAAAACTCAAACAGCAATGTGTGCTTCTGCTAGCCGAAGACAGCCACACCTGCCACGCATACATTTCGTTGAAATTAGTAGTCAATACTATAATTGCATACAAGCACAACCATACAGACAGCAGCGGCCAGCATGATGCTCAACACCAACACCAAGATGGGGTGGGTGGGTGGGCACCTTCCACTTGGCAAGAAGAAAAACAATGATCAGCAATACGTGCCAGCACCAGTTTCCAGCAAAAAAACTGTGCCCTCACACCCATCCTCCACCACGTGCCAAAAAATCTACAAAGAACACAATTTCTCGTTTATTTTTCAGCCAACGAGAAATGAACATTTCCAACTAGGTCTCTCCTCTTTCTAAGTTCGTACTCACAGAGTCCGTAGATTACGGTTGGCATAGCAAATTATACTTACGGAACTCGGAAGTGCGTTGGTGGCTGTGCTGTCCTGGAACCTTGTCTCGGGATGGGCGCGCAGCTTTGTGATTGGCTTGCCAGAGCTGGTGCGGGAAACTTCGCCGCCACCTCCTAGCTTGGAACCCAGCGGCAATGTCTGCCCAGAAACAGAAATTATGGACAAAGTAAAAAAATTTCAAGAGAGGACCCAAAGGTTGAAATGTAATCCGTAGTTGTCCAACAAACAAAAAAAGTGTAGAAAACACATGAGAACTAGTTATGCAGCAACTATCCACGACTGTAACAAGATGATAAACGGTCTTGGATAGTTGCTGCATAACTCGTTCTCATCTGTTTTTTCTCTGTTCTTAAAACATTTATTACTGGCTCAGTATCCAGGTAGTTGTCCAACATTGACAATTATAAGCAAACTGTTGGTGGGTGTTGCTCAATACTGCAGTCAGTTAATCATGTCTCAGTCTCCTTCACTAGGTAGTCAAAAGTAATATTTGTTTTGCTTTTCCTTCTCACGACTATCATGCACTTGACGTTTCCGCCACAAATACTTTAGGTACAGCGAAAGCAATTGCACTGCACATTTGCCAAGACTATGATTTTTCTGAGGATGACTTAGAAAGTGGGCAAACTTCAGGCTCTTGACAAGCAACATTTTTCAAAGTGTTCCACTAGTTTCGTGTCTTGCCTCCTTGTCAGGTAAAACATAGGCTAAAACGGCAAAGCAACAGGACAACTGATTTAAAAAGAGAAGCGAGGTGATAAAGCAGCGCCGAGAAGAGTAGCCTAAAATTAACGACACCGAAAACGTGTGTCACCTCATACACACAGAAGGAATGACAAAAAGGTGCAAGTGTGAAGACACTTAGCAAGCGTGTGTGAAACACAGTGCGATGCCAATGGCTGCACTTCATTCATTGTCCTTGTTCCTCGTGTTCTTGCTCCTAACTACTAGAATTAGAGACCCTCAACTCAAACACCCAGACAAGGAATCTTTGCTGCATTCTAGGGCTCATGACGTGAAACCGAGCGACGAGATTCCATTCATGAATTGATTCATGGCAGTAATCGAACGCACCCAGCGCGACGCCAATGGCTGCATGCACTTCATTCATTGTTTTGTTCCTGGTGTTCTTGTTCCCAGCTACTAAAATCAGAGACCCTCAACACAAACACTGAGACACGGACACTTTGCTGCATACATCGTTTGAAATGTTCAACGAATTTTATTTTCCGGCCTGACCCATCATCAGGTTGAAACAGGAAAAATTCTACTGTAAGTTAACAGATAAAATAAATAATAAATTAAATAATAAATTTCACGGTTCGCGTGAGACTCGGCTGGAAGCCCAGTTTTCCGCATCCGTCGTGGGAACGCCACCACCCTCTAGGATCAAAGGCGCAGATGCAGCTCCTAAACGGTGGGAGGTGAGTAGATCAGACCCACCACCAAGTGGTCAAAGACCGAAATCCCATTAGCTGCATCCATGTAGTCGGCGCATAATTATTATCGGCTATTTTCGGCCTGGTCATGTCAGGCCGAAAATTTGTTGCGGCCGAAATTTTGTTCTGCAAGGTTCAGTGTGACAGTGTATACAGGTGGCAGCAGTACTGGCCGAAAATTTAGTGCGAGCGAGACGGGTTTTAGCCCTGGGAGGCCGACATTTGAATGGGCTGAAAATTAGTCGACGTACAGTATAGTTGCAATTTCAAATTTGGACATCACGGAGAATTTCAAAGTTTTTAGGAAGTTAGAGGCCACATGCCACGTACTGCTCTTTTCTCTCCGAAACTCAACACTTGCAAGCCATATATGAAAGAAAGAAAAAAATCATCAGTCACACCACCGGGACTCGAACCAGGGACCTTGCTATTCGCGAGCAATGCTCTAATGGTTAGAGCATTGCTCGCGAATAGCAAGGTCCCTGGTTCGAGTCCCGGTGGTGTGACTGATGATTTTTTCTTTCTTCCATATCTGGCTTGCAAGTGTTGAGTTTCGGAGAGAAAAGAGCAGTACGTGGCATGTGGCCTCTAACTTCCAGTATAGTGTACCAGTAAGGCGCTGCACTGGAGTCTGTGAGCACTTGGAGGAAATATTCACTAGAATTAGGTTGGCAAATAAGTAGCTATCACGGAGGTAGGTACAGAAAGGCATCCCAGCTTCTCGGAAGTGATAGTCAAGTCATATAAGCCATGCACCGTTTCTGAAAAGTCGCAGCGGGACCCGGATAACGTTATCTCCCGTTATTGATGACAAACTGAACAGGGCAAGGACGAAGAAATACAGCGCACTCACCATTTCACTTTCCACGTTGCTTGCAAAATCCTGACTCCGATTCGCCAAGGCGACGTAACTTTCACACGTCGACTGCAGCATGAAAAGAGAGAGAGAGAGAGAGAGACGGAGAGAGAGAGAGAGGGAGAGAGAGTGAGAGAAGGAGAGAGAGAGAGAGAGAGAGAGAGAGAGAGAGAGAGAGAGAGAGAGTGAGAAAGAGAGAGAAAGAAAGAGAGAGAAATAAAGAGAGAGAGGGAGAGAGAGAGGGAGGGAGAGAGCGAAAGAGAGAGAGAGAGAGAGAGAGAGAGAGAGAGAGAGAGAGAGAGAGATGGAGGGCGGGAGAGGGAGAGGAGAGGAGAGGGAGAGAGAGAGACCCAATAACAATGAAGCTAGGACTGCCAATACACAGGAAATGCATTATCTCTACAATACAATTTTTGTCTCCTTGTTGACATTTCCATAAGAGCGTGACCTGTACTTTAAGGTTGTGTAACGCATTAACCATGCACTGAGGCTTACGTTGGGAGCTCCGGCGCCAGGTTTTCCCCATGGGGAGTAGTCCTGCAGTTGCTGTAGGTCCTGAAAGAATACAAACATAGTCAAACGGCAGTCACCATCACAGTGACCGCTTGTCATCAGTGACGCGCTAGTTGATCACCACTAATTTTAGCCTGGTCTACACCACACAGCTGATTGAAGTGGCTCTTTCTGGATATTGAAATACGTGTTTAATAATTTTTGCACAATTCACGTATTCCCCGTTCGGACATACCTACACACACACACACACACACACACACACACACACACACACACACACACACCACACACACACACACACACACACACACACACACACACACACACGCACGCACTCACACACACATACACACTCTCTCTCGCTCTCGCTCTCTCTCTCTCTCTCTCTCTCTCTCTCTCTCTCTCCCTCCCTCCATCCATCCCTCTCTCTCTCTCTCTCCCCTCCCTCCCTCCCTCCCTCCCTCCCTCCCTCCCTCCCTCCTCCCTCCCTCACACATACACACTCTCTCCTCGCTCTCTCTCTTCTATCTCTCTCTCCTCTCTCCCCTCCCTCTCCTCTCCTCTCCTCCCTCCTCCCCTCCCTCTCCCTCCCCTCCCCCTCCCTCCCTCCCTCCTCCCCGCCCCTCCCAGCTCCCTCCCTCCCTCCCTCCCTCCCTCCCTCCCATCCCGCCTCCCTCCCTCCCTCTCTCTCTCTCCTCCCTCCTCCTCCTCCCCTCTCTCTCTCTCTTCTCTCTCTCTCTCTCTCTCTCTCTCTCTCTCTCTCTCTCTCTCTCTCTCTCTCTCTCTCTTTTCTCTCCCCTCCCCATACATTATGTTCACATGCTAGTACTCCGACGTAACGTAATGAAAGGTGCAGGCTGACACCATTGCAGGCAATGAGACGTCACCAGCCCATGGCTACTAACCATACTAAACCGTCAATCAATCAACACTGTCATGTTAACTCCAGACCCATGTGGAAGGAACGCCGTTCACAAAGACCTCCCTACAACCGTGTGTACCGTTTTTTCCCGACTATTAAGACGCTTTTTGAATATTCAAATTGACCCCAAATATCGCGGTGCGGCTTATACCCTGATGATCAAATAAACGGTGATAAATAGGGTGGATGTCTGTATCTCGTGGCCAAAAAATGGTGGGGCAGCTTATACTCCGGTGCGGCTTATACTGCGGAAAATACGGTACTTTCTGCAGTTCAGACGTACCACAGTATCATGTAGAACTGCGCTCACCTCTCTCTGGTCGCTCTGTCGTTGGAGTCGCGCGTGCTCTTTTCTGTCCCCTCCATGCTTTCAGGTCTTCGTCTGTGTTTGAAAACCCGGTGCACAAAAGAAATGCGAGAGCATGCGAAGCAGATATCAGAGGCAACAACACAGAGCCTCCAGCACAGATATGAGAGCATACAGCACAGATAGTATCCCCCAACCCAGATCTCGGAGTATGTCAAAGCAGAAAGCTGGTGCATTTGTCTGTCCATCAACACTCTCAGGTTTTCGGCTGTATTCAAATATCAGGTACATCCATGGAGCAGAGATGTGAAAGCACCCGAAGCAGATACAAGAGCACACAACACAGATATGGGAGCCCACACCATAGGTGTGGGACGAAAAGCAGATATGAGAGCCCACGACACAGGTAAATGTATGTGAAAGCCGACAACACCGTTCTGAGAGCCCACAAAACAGTTCTGATAGCCCACAAAAGTTCTGATAGCCCACAAAACAGTTCTGATAGCCCACAAAAGTTCTGATAGCCCACAAAACAGGTCTGAGAGCCCAAAAACAGATCTGAAAGCCCACAACACAGATCTGAGAGCCCCCAAAGTAGATACAGTAAAAAGCTGTTTTTGCCGGACCATGTACCAAGCGAAATCCTGTACTGATCAGACGCATTTCCATGCACCAAAGTGCTGGGGATCGAACTAGCTTGTATCCCTGGATCAAGCGGAATCCTGTCATATCAAGACAGGTTCCGCTGCACCAAGTCCAAGGGCGTTCCGTTGGGGCGGGTTTAACTGTAGCTGGATAGACGCAGCACTCAGTCTTACCTGCATCAGATATCGCCTTCTCGCGCTGGAGGATTTGCCGTGTGCTGCGCCACATGACAAAGAACGGACAGAAAACAGAAAATGAAATGTACAGCGCTTCATTGGACACGTTATCAGAAAAAGGACTGCAATATCCATACAGTGACATTAAAAAAAGTGCAATCATCCTGGACTGGCTGCTCATGGTTTTGGTGCATCGTTTGCGCCGTGGTGAATGCAATGAAATCAATCACATGCTGCTAAGTAGTGCAGGACGCATGTGAACGCTGACTTCAACTTTATGTACAGTTCTGCTCAATGAAATCCAGTCGCGTCACTCAAGTACTCGCCGGGCGGTGCGCAGCCCTAGATCTGCGAACACTGGGCTGCGAAATGATACAAGGCGCAAGCTTGAGTGGTACTACTGGATTTCATTAAGCAGCACTGAACTTTACGCTATTTAATCGTGGACAATGTTCATTTCCGGTCAAGTATCTTATTGGACGGCGCCACCTGAAATCCTGGTGTGACGGCCCTATGCCCTGGGTTCCAATTGATATTATCGAGTATCACGTGGTACGCACACACACGCACATTACACGCGGATTACGCGGGACCGAATCTCCCTAATCTCGCATTGCAGAATACTACCTGTGACCAAGAGTACAGTAAAACCTGTCAAGGTGACCACTTGGATAAGGTGACCACCTGTCCTAGAAGACCACAGAAACCAGGACCAAGGGATGCTATTTCCAGACAAATGACCCTGGATAAGGAGACCACCTGGTAACAGAGACCACGTTTTGAAGGAAGCCATATTGTATAACGAAGTGCTAACTCTAACGAGTTAGCGAGGAGAAATCTGTCGTTAAAATAGAAATCGTTATACAGAAATCGATACATATACTGTCCTATTGAGCGTTGAGAATGAGTGAGAATCGCTACCTTTGGTACACGTAAACTAGTCAATTTTTGGGAGATCGTTATATATGCGCCTTGTTAGAATAGTGGCTTTTACAGTACTCTTGATACCAGTACAATCATACTCTATAGACCTGAAGAGGTTCCTCTCAAACACATTTTTTAATATAATACTAGTTACAGTGAAATCTGTCTAAGACGACCGCTCGAGGGACCTTCAAAACGTGGTCTCCGTTACCAGGTGGTCTCCTTATCCAGGGTCATTTGACTGGAAATAGCATCCCTTGGTCCTGGTTTCTGTGGTCTTTTAGGACAGGTGGTCGCCTTATCCAAGTGGTCGCCTTGACAGGTTTTACTGTACTACTTTTACTAGCATCAGTAGCTTCCGCAAGCAAATCGTTTCCACTGCAACGAAGCAGGAAGAGCTGCGAAAGAAAAGAACTAAGTATTTGTTACGTGTTGGATGGGTAGGTGCATGGCGCTCAGTGCTAACCTTTGAGGTTGTAGCGTGACGGACGGAGCGACGTACGTCGGTCTTCCAGGCGGGTCGCTGATGTACTGGTTAGCGCGCCGTGGCGACAACGAGGAGGCACCTGCCGGCCCAGCTCTCCTCTCTCCGCGCTGTTCAGCGTGTGTTGTTGTAGGCTCTACATCATTGATCAGCCGTTCGCCAAGGTCGTACGTTCTGGTTCGGCGAATTCTCGGTTCGTCGTCTGGATTGCCGGGAGCCATGCGAGCCGCTTGATACGGTACGGCTACGTCGAGAAATCGTTCATTTCCGTCGGCCTCTAGCTTTGCCGCTATTTCACGATACACGGGTGTACTGCTGCTGTGCGTTGTCGTAGGACTGAAAACATTTTGACTGTGCGCGAGTGGCTGCCCGGGCCTATGTCCATGACCATCACCATGATCACGAACCGACTGTGGTATTCTGCCGGCTGCGGCGTCGTCCACGAGTCTCTGCTCCGATCCAGCTGCTTGCCGCTGCTCCGCTGGCCCGCGTGTGGTGGTGTGAGTCGATCTCACACGAGAGCTAGCGTGGAGCGATCCTTGGTTTTCCCCAGAGCCGCTTTCGCTCGGTACGTATCCTCCTGGAGTGTATCGCGGCATCACGCAGAATCAATGGATCAACGAGCACAACATACTCATTGCGAAATGGTGGTATTACTAGTAAAGACTACGTGACCTGGTGACGCCTGATCTGCAGTGTACAGTTACTCTAGTCTAGTCTCTCTGGACCTGGTTGGCGAAGCCGTAGGTAATCCTTCAAGGAGTGGACTCTGCGACCGGACCCGTAAAAGACGAGCACAAACGAATGGCGTGTCTCCGAAACTGCAAGAAAAAGTAAATCCAGTGGCCCAGTCAAAGGTTCGATCAAAAAGTCCTTTCACAATGATCATGATGAAAAGGCATGAATGACAGCACAATCCTAGTTACGTATTATGTTATGTGGTTGTGTTGGCAGTAAGGACTACCAAGGTAGTCAAGGTAACCGGTTGTCTGTTTGTTCGGAATACAATGATAATGTCGGAAACAATGTATACCCAAGCCAGCTTGTACCATTGTGTACCAGGTGTACGGGCAAAATAAACACAAGCGCAACCTCAACACTACAGGAAGAAAAATGCAATGACTTAATGTGAATGAGGTAAAGCTATACAATGACGATGTCACCATGACCATTGTCGAAGACCCCGGGATCGCGGGAGTTGCAATAATAATTACGTCCACAAGTATTCATTAGTAACTTGAGCGGGAATGGAAAAGGGAAAAAAGAAGGGAAAAAGTATGCTAGCCTTTTATCGCCATGGCATCGTTTACTATTCTGTCAGTCCCTGCTCCAGCCCCCCCCCCCCCCCCCGCCCCCCTGGCGTTATCATGGTTGTGACATGTGCCAGGGCTACTACATAATCTCTCTCTACATACAGTCATCCAGCACAGTACACTGTAGTCATGGTCGGCGATTGGTCGCACCTTCTTGGTTAGTTTCTTGGTTATTCACGTCATTATTCTTATTCTAGCCCTCGCTTTGGTAGGTTCTTGCCTCGCAGTCCCAGGCTAAGGGCCAGTAGTTAGGCCTTGACAGATTATTTTCATGAAATTATGCTTTTCGCATTGCTGAAAAAATTGCAGAATTATGCCATTTTTATGCTAAAAGTTATCATAATATTATGCCACATTATGCTCACATATGCTGCTAATGTTTAATGGCTCTGTGCAAAATAACAGGGGAATTTTTGTAGAGGGCGTTGTACTGTAGTAGCAAAAGTTCAACGGGGTCAACGCACCATCCGACCTAGCTACGACCGTCACTGATTGTAGTGGACTGGACGTGATTGTTATCAAGGGAGTCGTAAATCTACGACTTCCTGGTGCATCTACTTGTACTTGTACTTGTAGAACATGTACAACTGCATGGAATTTGATGCGAACACGCGGATTATTCCACTTTAATGCGATTCGTATGCAATTTGCCTCGAATTATGCGATTATTCGATTTCGGTAGGAATTATGCGAAAAATTATGCTAGCATGATCTGTCAAGGTCTACCAGTAGTGGCCTGTGTTATCTATCCCCAAGGTCAATATTTCACTTATAATACTCATAAAAAGGACACACTTCAGGCTCATTACAAACATCTTGAAAGTTTTGGTCTTCACAAGTATACTTTCAAGCCTTCTCATCAGGTGAAATACAGGCAAGGGAAAAGGAACAGGAACAGTGGATTAAATACAGTAAGAAGGTGGTAAAACAGCGCAAAAAAGAAAGAAAGAAAGAAGATATTTCACCATTGTAGTATTTTTTGGCCTCCGGATGGCCTCCGGTTAATATATTGGTTATTAAATTTTGGCGATGTTGCCACTGAGTGGGCTATTGCTGCTGAATCGTCTGTCTTCGCATTACCGCCAGCGTCACGGGACATCCGCATCTCTAGCTACCTTATGCCAGAGCACAATGTCTAAAAATGTTGCACGTGCAGTGCAGTCGGGAGTCGGGACTTGCCAGGCTTGGGCATAGGCCTCGACCAAATATGCTTGCGCATATTTCCGCATATTTTGTGAGACAGTTCATTATGGCATATTGAGCGACAAAGGGAATATTGGAATGAAGCCAGCATATAATTCAAATATTCTGAAGAAAACGAGGACAAAACATTCATATTATGGACAAAATGCGTTCAGAGATGCCTTTTATGGATGAATTTGGAATGGTTGAGGCGTTTGCTACGTTTCCCCATGGATGAACACTATCGCTACGGTTGCTGGGGACACACCCCAGCCATACTATTCCGCATGTGCGTTGATTTGCACCATAAGCATGATAGCCGTTAAGCCAGTGAATATTCCAAGGTTGTAATTTTACTGAAATGATCTACACTTTCTGCTTATGTCGAGCATATTTTGGCATATTTTTGCATATCTTTTTGCATATCTTGCTAAGCCTTTGGCATATTATGGACGTTTTCCCTGATATGCGACGAGCATAATATGCTCTTTTGTTAGCATATTTTGGTCGAGGCCTACTTGGGTATACGTGAAAAGCAACAGGAAATGTAATAGCTGTATTGCCAAGCGCAATTTCAAAGTGCAAGAATGTATCTACCGTTTCCTCTATCCAACCTACATTCTACATTCACAGTCATGGTTGCTAAAATTCAGACGTCATGACTTCGTAACATGCATAATGTACATGTTGTTGTTGACTTTTATTTTACTTCACCAATTGCACAGGCATGATTGCCTTCTTACCGGCCTATAGGTCCGGTTCTCACAGAAAGATGAAGAAAATTATATGAGGAAATGTATAGAGATAAAGACATGCAAGCGGTATGATTATTATTATAGAAATGTTTGTTATGACATTGTGTGTATGCTGACACTCAATTTGTGTGAACTTTTTATAATGTGATAACAAATAAAATGTAGTGGAAGCATTTCATGAGAATATATGTGTGAACATTGGCAGACTTTGTTGGATGGGGACACTTTTTAGCAGTCCAGGGAACATGAAGTACGGCGAGGGGTGTTGGACTGTTGGCATAGAGTTTACAAGTTAAGTACGTCAATATCAGATAGGGCTCTCTTGAATTGATCGGCAGCAGTTATCGATCTTACATCAGCCGAGAGGGCGTTCCATGCAATACTGCCGTGAAACATCATACTCGAGCGACCAGCAGGCCCGCGAAGGAAAGGGACTTGGAGCAAGTTGGAAACTTGGCCCCTAGTGATGCGCTGATCGTTTAGCACGGTGTTTGGAGCAGTCGTTGTAAAGAGTTGCTGTAGGAGTGGGCTACAGTATCCATTGATACAGCGGTGTACAAAGATTAGAACTTTCTGAGTGTATGTGTGTGCCAGGCTGACTATACTAAGAAGTGCCAGAAGCGGTGCGGTGGGGGTGAGAAAGCGCTGTTGCAAGGTTGCACGAATGCCGGCTTTGAAACTCTTCTCCAGACGTCCAAGCAACTGGGCAGAAAGCCCAGGAACAAAGCTATTCGAACCATAGCATAGCTGAGAGAGGACCATGCTGAGGAACCAAGTGCGTCTGGCGCGCAAACTGAGTCCTTGGCCATGCCTCCAGAGCTGGCCAATGGTCCTAGCAGTCTTGCGGCTCAGGTGTGCAATGTGGGGCTTCCAGGACAGCTCCTCATCGAGTATTACCCCGACATGTACGTGGAGTTTTGCGGACTACCCGTCACTATCTCGTCCGCCCCAGGTCCCGGACTCAATACTCTTCTATTCATTTGTTTATGCTCCACGTCTCGTGATTCTATCATTTTTATCCGCTTTCATACCGTATTTTCTCTAATATAAGAGCCCGGGGTTCTTATTTTTTCAGTGACAGCTCTACCCGCGCTACTATTAGTAGCCATTGGCGGACTATGCTCGGCCAATCGTCAAATTATGCTTTTGATTATGCCACAATTATGCCAACAAATATGCTGAATTATGCTCGGTTCCACTATGTATTCACGCTGTACATAGAGGATTGAGAAGTCATGCATACACACACGGCCATGCTCTAAGCATAATTTTTGTCTAAACCGAAGGATTATGCCGACCTTACACGTTGGAATCCGTATATTATGCCGGAGCATGTTTTTGACGAAATCCCAAGATTATGCCAAATATTATGCCGGCATAATCCGCCAAGGGCTAACTATTAGAGACTGGGCTATTATTGGAGACTGGGCTCTTATTTTTTCAATTGTCAACTATCAAGCCAACTCCAGTCTATACAGGCATAAACTGACCATATCAAGACTGATTTTTCAACCCTGAACTCAGGAATATTGTCAAAAACAGATGTTTCACTATAACATTGGCGCCAGGAAGGAAGCAGTAGACCGAAAACCTCCTTACAAATAATGTTCTTAGCATGTTGTACTGCTGTTTTATATGCAGTCAATATACTTGTTGGCTTGTTGCATACTCCCGTTGTGACCCGCGCTACTATTAGAGACTGTGCTCTTATTATTTCAAACCTCCCTCACCCCGGGTCATTATTGGAGAGTGGGTCATTATTGGAGACCTGGGCTTTTATTAGAGAAAATACAGTAATAACCTTGTGCATGATATTAACCATTATTTTAATCATTATTTTATACATACATATTTTCATTTACTCTTCATCATTTTGTCGGAACTACATGTAGGTCTCCGGACCTGCTCCCTGGCCCTTTTTGACGTCATCACTTTCAATCCCATAATCATAATGCTCCGGGACCGCGGTATACCGGTGGCGACTACAAAAAAAAACTGTAGCGCGGGTCTTCTCTGCGCTTGCAAAGCTCCACCCTATACCCCAGCAGCTCACAAAAAAAAGTAGAGAGAAGAGTTGACCACCTTTCTAAAATTTCCCCTCGCGCACCTTCAATTTCTGGCTTCATTCACCCAAGAGGTTTGTTTTCTTCGATAATCATAGCTGTCATCATGCCGTTTTGATACCGGCGCGCCTAGGGTTGTTGAATGTAGATGAAGTCAGCAAGGCAGGCAAAGCTGTGGTAGCGACGGTAGTTCCGCAGTCTGTCCGGGTGACGGTAAGGGCCAACCTCGTTTGGTGAATCAAGCACGCCGTTGGAATCTTGCGCTCTAGCCTAGCTTGGCTTTGAACAGCGGTAAGCACGAGGCGTTCTTCCTTTCCCGTTTCTCTACCTTCGGCTGTGGGTCGATGTGAAGCGATAGCACACTCCTAATGCCTGCATTGAAAGTTGATCTGGTGACACAATGAGTGTTTTCAAATGTACGTTCCGCCACTAGGAATTGTGATTGAATGAATTGTCATTTTGACCATCAATATTAGACCCTGCTATATGTTCACCTGTGTGTGAGAATGTATTGGTCTACCCAAGGGAATTAATCGTGTGAATGGTGCATTTCCGAAGTAGTTGCCGCTTGCGTGGGAGCGTAAGTTGATGTTTTCTCCGTTTCTCTGTGTTTGTATTTTGATGTCGTGCACTGGAAACAGCTCAGTCAAGAGAATCGGCCGGGCTACGCTTGAAGACTACTCGTCGCGGCTAGGGAGTTTGGGCGCAGGGAACCACGGGTGCTGCCAGTCGCGTCCTGCAACAGGAAATTTGTCCAAATACCTGAGAAGCCGTCCCATCGAATTTCGAAGTACTTGGTGAGTTTCATTCGTTGCACGCACTGTAACCCCCCAATGGGATGATCGCTGTGGACGCAATTCGTTCAACCGTGTTGTGGCGACACAAATGAGCGTGGCCGACACCCCCTTTATTCACTTTGTCAAAGTAAATGAGTGATAAGAAAATGGGAGGTGGGAGGGTGAAACAAAACGAGCAGACAAGAATGATCCACACTCAGTACGGATCGAAATTTATAGTAAATCGATCTCTAGCAAGTCACGTCGAGCGAACGTCACATGTCGCCCACATTGAGCGCAACATAAAATGCCACGGTGAATGCCAAGTCGCACGTCGCCCACACATTGAGTGTTACCAAGAGTACATGAAAACCAGAATGTGCAGCTTGGGGCTTTTTCTACTAAGGGTGTCTGTCACGGCGAAATTCCGTGATTACATCATACTTGGCGCAGATCTGAGGCGGGAAATGGCGTAGTGCGTGCAACTGAGCTGCAGTTGTGCAGAAAGAGACCCGCTGGAATCCTGCTTGTACGCACTACATCACTAAAATGATGTAATCGCGGAATTTCGCCGTGACAGCAACCCATCCGAGCTGCACACTCTGGTGTTCATGGTACTCTTGGTGTTACGTTCAATGACACGTAGAATGCCACGTCACCTAGAGTACCACACGTGCATGCACAATGTTGTTTAGTGGACATGGTCACGTGACGTGCAGTGCACACGACCGTAGTCAGTAGCAAAGCATGAGCATAGGGCAACAGCACTACTAGTGTCAAACATAGCAGCATAACTTGAGCGGTAGCACGAAGCTGCATGCACCCATTAATCTGCATTATCATCATAAGGCTACACACCGTTGACCTTTGACCTTTGATGCCCCATCTCCAGTGGAGATGATAGGCTACTGAGTTGGGCAGTACTTGAGGTGACGCTTCAAATCGCCACTTCTCCTAAACGTTCTGGAAGTACTTCGGTCCTGAGAGAGGAAGACAATGTTGATGGACCTGCCTGCGCCCTTCCGGGCGATCCTGTGCGAGCTGATACCACTCGGACTCCGGAGTATCCAGTGAGTGCAGATCACCGACAATCGTGTCTCGCCAACGCTTCTTTGGTCCATGCCGTGGTCTGGTTGCCTTGAGCTCCCCAAGCAACACTTTTTGAGGAATCCGGGCCGCGTCCATACGGGCAACATGACCCAGCCAACGCAGATGGTACTCACGCTGAAGAGTGCCAATGTCTTCAGGAAAACGTGCTCTCTGGGCTAGATCAGCAGTATAGCTGACAAGATAAGTGAAGCTGTCCACAACCTCCACCTTTCTTCCTGCATTCTAAAGATCAATGGAAGGTGGGGGGTCAAAGCAGTTCACCGCCATGGCCTTGGTCTTCGCACGCTCACAGTTAGACAATAACTCAAAGCACAGGACACAAACTCGTTTGTCATTGTCTTCAGGTGGCTTGAAGAGGTGGTGTAGAGTGCCGCATCATCAGCAAACTGGGACTCTGGGAATAAAATTTGCAGCGTTAACGACCTTGATGTGGTGGTGGTGACTGATCGTGATATGAATTGGCAGCAGTGTGCAGTGGAGCCTCCGTGTTCTAAAATAGATAGGTAAACAAGAGAGAGAAACACACAAGACTTTTTTAAATATCGATCAGAGGAAACACGAGAGGGTTTGGGGGAAAATTGGACAGAAAAACTATACCACACACCCCGAAGCTTTGCAAATCAAGGACCTTACGCAGGGCTTTTGCCCTGGGGGAAGATTTGGGCCTTGAGCAGGTCAGTTGCCAAGGCAGGCCTGGTCTTAAGTCGCGATGATCAGGCTCTCTGCCATCTTCTTGCGACCAGCCTTTGGCAGCCAACTCCAAGTGTTCTCGTTGATCAGTTGTTCTGTTTGCCGGACAAACTGTCCATGCAAGGGCTTCTGGGTCCATGCCAAGAGGTGTTCTTTTTTAAGCCGACACTTCACCACCTGTGAGGAGTCTGGTGGGGCATCCAGATGTGGTCACAGAATGGGCGCAGCCACCTTCAGGAGTTCCTTGTCCGACTGAAGCACATCACGCTGCAGATTGCTTTTCGCCATGGATTATTCTGATTCCTATTTGCTGTCAGGGACTGAAGAATACAGTAATAACTATTCTATGCTGTACTTTACTGTACGATTCAGAGAATAAGGCCAGCCGAGTACCTGACCATACACGGGCATACTCCCATGTGAAGGGTGCAGTGTAAGAAGCGTCTGGCCCATATGATTACATGACTGTGGACAAGGGTTTGACGTTTTCTGTCCTGTTTTTGGTATGAATGCACAGGCATGGGCATGTAAATTGGAAAATTGGCTACGCGTATATAATGTGTATTCGCAAGAGTCCCTAACCAAAGGTAAGTAACTAGGCCAGGTGAGTAGCGTGCTGTCTGTCTATTTTCTGTCTGCCTGCCGTCTGTCTGTGTTTGTGTCTGTCTGTCTGGCGATCTTTCTGACTGACTGACTGTCTGTCTGTTTGTTGGCCCATCTGTCTCTCGGTCTGTTTGTTTGTCTGGCTCTCTCTCTCTCTCTCTCTCTCTCTCTCTCTCTCTCTCTCTCTCTCTCTCTCTCTCTCTCTCTCTCTCTCTCTCTCTCTCTCTCTCTCTCTCTCTCTCTCTCTCTCTCTCTCTCTCTCTCTCTCTCTCTCTCTCTCTCTCTCTCTCTCTCTCTCTCTCTCTCTCTCTCTCTCTCTCTCTCTCTCTCTCTCTCGCTCTCTCTTTCTCTCTCTCTCTCTCTCTCTCACTTTCTCTTTCTCTTTCTCTCTCTTTCTCCGTGTCTCTTTCTCTCTCGGGCTGTCTGGAGTGTATCCAGTTAGAATTCTTTAAGGCGAACATGATGGAACCTAAGGTAGTTGTTCGCAGTAGTTTCGTTCTTCTTATGAATACAGTATACTCTGGGCAGGTAAATGAAAGCAAGTATTCATTGTGCCGTCAATGCCGCCTGTAGAAGGACCAGCCATCCTGTTGTCAAGCCTGAGCAGGAAATATCATGTACATTTCAAAAGAAGAAAATAGAACCAAAGAACTACAAGTTACGCTATAATATCCACTAAGACCACCAGTTACTTTACAATCAGCTCATGCGAGAGTGGCGGGTTTAGGGGGGGGGGGGGGGGGGGGGTGCGGCGGGCGCCCCCCCCTCGCTCAAAGGTTTCGACCTAGGTTTCGAAAAATAAACGGCAGGGCTAGCTAGGCTCGGGGCGCGCGCGCGGCCTGAATTAAAACAATCGTCCAAAATCGGTTGCACGGTACGGTGCTCGAGCTGGTGTTTATTGTACACACTACGCTGTCTACAGTCTACAGAGTACAGTGAGCATGCACGGCTACAGAAACACGGTGACCTGACTGTGTACACTGTACTGTTGTGCAGTGTGATCCATGCTGGGACCCGCTCGACGCGTCTTCAACGTACAAGCATCGAAGAAACGTCTTCGAGTCAACCAAAACACGATTCGAATGCCGAGGGCTCAGGCGATCATCCTCGTTCGAATCGTGTTTTGGTCGACTCGAAGACTTTTCTTCGCTGTCTCAGCAACATCCCAAAAGGCCAAGCTCTAGCCAGCAGAGCCTGGCTGGATTTTTTGCAAAGCGTTCCTGTGGCGGCGCGACTCCTGCTGCCGCTCCAACAGGAAACAGTGGGAGTGATGAAGTCGCTGTTATTCCAGTTGAACTTTCGGAGCGGACTGACAGTCACACTCCGCCAGACGTGGAAGCACCTGTTGTCAGCGAGCAGCCAGAGCATGAAGAACAGCGCACAGTGACAAGTGGACATAGTACTGCTGCCTATGTAAAGGATACTTTGAGCGGTGAGAAATTGTTGGACCCGAATAATAAATTGCAGTTAATTCGCTCACAATACGGCAAATTTGAAGTTTACAATGTACAATGTTGCTGCGTGTACAGAAATACTGCTCGTGGTGTGTGAGATTTACGGCTCCTTGACATCGGTTTTCAAAATGGCTGACCTGGGACAGTAGCATGATGTCATCTACCCCCACCCCATCCCGGCCGCAACCCCCCCCCCCCCTCAGCAAAATCCTGGACACGCCACTGTGCGATAACATTACACGACACTGACCAGCGGTACTGACGTTCTACACCTAACTGGCAATCAGTTCTAGCACATCTTGGATGCGCACTCCAACAGCCTTCCAGCTTGGAAGGTTCTAAGTTATAGAAATAACATAAGGAGGGGAGACGTGCTAGAGCTGGTTGCCAGTTAGGTGTAGAACGTCAGTACCGTCGGTCAGTGCCGTGCAATGTTATGGCATGAGCTGATTGTAAAGTAACTGGCAATCTTTGTGGATATTATAGCGTAACTTTAGCTCATTGGTCATATTTCAAATGACGTACATATATAATTTTTTCATGGTGGAGAGGTGCAGCTGACATTTTCAACCGCATCCAATTTTCCTACGTTTGCAATTCTGCAGTCGGCCTTGGACCTGTCATTCAAATTTTATGTCTGTCCACTTGTCTGCCTGTCTTTCCTCCCGCCTATTTTCGGTCTGACTCCAAGCCTGTCTCCATTGTCCTAGTGGTTATCCTTCTATCCAACTGTCTATCTGCCTATCTTTGACTGTACAAAGAATGCGGAATGAGGTTTGGCTTGCAAGTAGAGTTTTGCACTGTGCAATCTCGAGCAGGGTCGTACCCAAGGATGTCCGCAGGGTGTTTTTCTTACAGACCCCTTTCACGCACGGTAAATGTCCAATGTAAACTAGGGGTGAAACGAACATCGAATTTTGAATACGAACGAACTCTCACACTAACGAACGAACTCGAACGAACATTCTCCATAATGGATTTCATGGATGTAACAATACCAATTAATTATGAAGACCGTACAGGCGTGCTGTAAATATACAAAATTTCGGCACTTCACGATTTTTGACATTTCGGCGGCGATTTATTTTCGGCGTGGGGTAGAGGGCATGGTATAGTGCGACAGATGCTGTGAAAAATTTCGTCAGCGTTTTAATTTTAGGCGTTTTGGGTCGGTGCCGAATATATAGCCGAAATTAAATAGCTGCCGAAAATTTGTATATTTACAGTATCTGTACTTGGCTGGCCACTGTTCAGTATTGACGGCGTGATGCTAAACAAACACTGTGATTGTGCAGGTAGATTTACATGTGAGCTAGCTCTATAATAGTCTAGAGCCAGGGGTCAGAATCACTGAGAAAATGTGAATGGTACTTCTTCAGGCGAGTGCGAAGATTGCTCGCCGTCGCTCTGTTGTATGATGGAACCTTTTTGAAATTGAGAAAAGGACTTTGTCTTTCCCGGCCATATTATCAAAATCCGCCCCGACTCCGGACCGCGATGAAAGACTCGAACGTGTTGACATGATTGCAACAACGAGTGAATGTTTGCTTTCAGGAACAGATGTCACATGAGCGACTCGACTCCTTTCCAAATCTACCTCAAACGGACACACAGAAATATTTCAAGAAACTAAATTATACTTCGTCTGGACACGACACTTGACTCCTTTAACTTGCTGCAAGTGATCATCAAGGCAGACGCAGTTGATCAGTGCGCAAGCTCGCGATCTCCCGACCTCCACGGCTCCTTTATGATCTAGTCACAAGCGATCTACATGCTTGCTTGCTGTGTTCGTTTATCAATCTTGCGAGTTCGTTCATTCGTTTACAAATTTTTCGAACCAATATTCGAACTTTCGTCCGTTCCTTTCACCCCTAATGTTAACCTGAACAGCCAGCGGCTCACAACCGCTAATGCTATGTGGATGACCCCCCCCCCCCTCCCCCCTGCTCAGGCAGAATAATTTAAATATCGAACATGTCTGTATTATTATTTTTGTCTAGTGACATTATAGTGTGAAACTCAGGCTGCAAGCAAAACACTGTTCCAACTTCTTCGTAAAGAATATCAGGGCTGCCACACTTGGAGGGAGAAAAATCTGATGGGGGTCCGGTGGTGTCCCCCGGTGAACATTTTTAGGAAAATGGCTCGCTGTTGGGGCCCCAGAACACATTTTTAACTGTCCACACACATGCAAGCACGCGTGCATTTTACAGCTACATGTACATGTACATGTACAATGACTGGCCAAATGCGACCTGGAAGCGCCGAATGGCCAACTGGACTAAAAAGCGCTCGAAATATAATAATCGGTTGTTCCTCTTTGGGAACAAAATCGGTCGGTTTGTCCGACAGGCGATCAAAAATCGGAGCAAGTGGCAGCCCTGGAATATCTAGCCATTGTTGTTCTGAGCACTGAATAGACGTAGAAAAGCATTCAACTTTGTGTTTGTTTGCACTCTACCCCTATATTTCCACAGGTGAATTGACTGCTTACTAAATGTGACCCCAACCAGGGTTTACAGATGGCCGGTAAGTAAAGTTCAATTTAGGTGAATGTAAAATGAATCTGCCTCCCAATATTCAGGCAGTCCATCATCGGTTTCGAGGATGCATTCATCCGTCCTTCCGACCACCCATGTATTCATCCCTCCCTCTGTCCATTCTTCTATCCGTTCATCCTTCCGTCCGTCTGTCCATCTTTCCATTTCACCTGATCGCGCTCGTTTTATGCATACATCTATCCATCCATTCATCCGCCAATCAATCACCCTTCAGTATTTATGTACCAAGCAATCTGTCGGTGCATCCGTCATCGCTTCTGTCGGTGTGTCTGTCAGGCCGTCAGAGCATCCACCGGTCTGTATGTGTTTTTCGGCCCATTGAAATGTCGGCCTACCATCGCGAAAACACAGTTCGGCCGCAACAAATTTTCAGCCTGTACCGCTGCTGCCTGTCTACATAGTCACACTGAACCTTGCAAAACGAAATATACACAACCCTCCAGGCCTTCATGGCATCATCCTTCCACCTCATAATTATGTCCTCGTTCACTTCATCCCTCCATCTCTCCAGCAATCCATCCATTGGCCCATCCATCCACCCACCGATCAAACCACCCAACTACTCAACCATCCATCCATCCATCCATCAATCCATGCTTCCATTCATCCATCCATCCACCCATGCATCCACCAATGCATCCATCCATCCACATACCTGTCCACCTATCCACCCACCACCAAATCTATCCATCCCTCCATCCCTCCATCCATCCATCCATCCCTCCATCCGTCCGTCCATCCGTCCGTCCGCCCGCCCGCCCGTCCGTCCGTCCGTCCGTCAGTCCGCCCGCCCGCCCGCCCTTCCATCCATCCATCCATTCATCCACTCATCTATTACATCCATCCATCCATCCACTCATCTATTAATATTACCCTTTGACTGTAGAGGGGTAATGCTGCCAGGGCTCTAAGGACCAGCGAAACCGGGTCCTTTTAAGTGAAAACGCACCACATTTAAAAGTCCCTAGCTCAAGAGAACAGTGTCCAAGTTTCATTCTCTTTTGCTTCTTGGAAAACTACTGCAACAGGGAAAACGATGAGCTGAAGCACAAGTCCTCACAAGCCTGGCAGCAAGCTGTAGAACTGAGTGAATTTTTCCCTAAGTCGGAGCGCAGTTGCACAAATCAAAGAAGAGAACTTATCGTCCATTGTCTTTCATTATTATTTACAAGTTGGGTATGTGAACATAGAAAAACAAGACTTAGGGCCGTTTACATGACAAAAATAAGCCCGGGCTTATTCAACCCTAGGCTTACAATAGGCCTGCCTTGATCTGTCTCCAAGTCATTTTTGAACGCCCGTTTACATGGCGAGGTGGGCAAATTCAGCTCGCCCGAGCTGAACTAGCCCTACCCTTGACCCCTATGCTTCGATTTTGCCTCGTGAACCAGAGAGGATATCGCCTTGGAGAGTGCGTCTTCGTTGGTTCTTTCTCGGCATTTTTTCTTCTGATTTTTCTTTCAGTGGAAGGTCCTAGCCGATCCTTCATCTTCTCGAAAACTAAGCGACAATCGGAAGGCAGTAGAAGCGTGAGCTGGTACTTCTTGATCCAAATTTCGTCATACACGAACATTTACCACTGCATTCATGTTTGGTTTGAAAAATCAAACTCGCGCAGAACTCGCGGTCGCTCACCTGAACTCAGCCCCGTACACATGTTACAACCGTCATGTAAACGGTTGAAAAATAATCCCGAGGCGAATAAGCCCGGGCGTATTTTTCTCATGTAAACGGTTGAAAAATAATCCCGAGGCGAATAAGCCCGGGCTAATTTTTCTCATGTAAACGGCCCCTTACTGGCAGGGCATTTATGGTTCGAAATATTGTGACTTTCCTCCCCTCATGGGTACGAGCCCTTCGCCGTCAGCTTTTTTTCTTCCTTTTCCATTGCATTTTGACTGAATTTAGTGAAATGCCCCGTTCCGGAAGAAAATGGAGGCGTTTCAGCAGGAATTTGCCCAAATACCCCCTACAAGGCTGCACCGAAAAAGTCTTCTGTTTTCGGTGAGGCCACACCTTCTATGTTTCTCGTCGGCAAATTTTAACAAAACGTATGCGGGCGGGCGAAAAAGCAAAAGAGAACAACAAGCACAGTTTCTTCTGAAAACTGTATACATGCATGTGTAATTCATATAATACACTGCGTATACAGTACTACAGTAGTCCCATTGTACATATTTGTACTACATTATCACACCAGCCCACGAATACTTCAAAGTACATGTAGTAGGCAAACTGTAACAATGTTGTGAGTATAACATTTGATGACGAGATGGCGAAGAGAACATACATGTATCTGCTATTGCATCAACAAACGCTTTCCCACTCGTCTTTTCTATTTCGTTACTTCAACCTTCTTAGGGACCATCGCAAAAGTTCGCAGAAGCCCCCGAAACGAAGACCGTTAGTTTCGGGCCTGACCCCCTCCCTCCCCCCTCAAACGAAACGACAGTCACAATATGGGCTTCATTATTTCACTTGGATGCTCACACATAATAATTTTTATAATATACTACACAGCAGGGGTTCATAAACCCTATGAACCCCTGCTAGTACTAGTACTAGCAAGAGTCCATAAACCACGCGTTTTATGGACTCTTGGTACTAGACTACACACAGTGTACAGGCAGCCAGCTACGCGACACGCGCAGTTGCATGAATGGACTAAGGCCTCGGTCACACTACGGCAAGTTTGAAGCTGGACGCAGCGTCCAGTCGCAGCACTTGACGCAGACGCGGGGTCACACAGTGTTTTGTTTTTCTTGCAGCTCATGAGTGCCGCGGCCTGGCGCATTTGTCTACGTCACAAAATCACCAGGGAAACTCAATGACGACACGGATTCCCACGGAAACCGGCCTTTTGCTTATTATACAAAAAAATTGTCGGACAAAGTTTTCAAATTTTTCATTGATTTTTGATTTAGAAGACGAAAGCTTTAAGGTCCACGGCCACGCGTGCACGATCGTTGTTGTTTCTTTCTGAATTTTAAACCATTTTCAGTTGTAGTGTCATGGATCAGGCAAGAAAAGTCCGCATCGCAGCTGTGTTTCTCCTGACTTCGTCATACTGGTTGTCCTTTTTGGGGCTCTTGACGAGAACACAACACTCACAAGTCAACAGGCTCCAGTTGGCCGATGACCCACTCAAATAACTGGTCCTTTCTCGACTTTATTTTCTTCTCAGAAAACGCCTCGCTCTTCCGCCAGGTTCGGAGCAGAGCAGCATCGGCCTCGTAGGTCCACGGACTCATCTCGAAAAGAGGAAACAAAACAAACCTTGAAGAGACGAATGTCGAATGATTGCTCAACTCGAGCGTCTTGAAACTAACTTGAAAGACACTGTTTTTCCGCCAAGCGTCACTCCCATCAGCGGCAACGCAGCCGATTTCCCCACGTCAGACGCAGCAGCGTCTGACGCTCAAACTTGCCGCGTTTGCGTCAGTTGCCATGGAAAAGCTCATGAATCTGACGCTGACGCAGCATTTTTGCCGTAGTGTGACCGAGGCCTAAGCGCCCTGACAAGCGATCTACGCCGGCTGTGATGGCATGCTAATCCATATCAGCTCCTACATGTCGTCAATACTTTTTGAATTGAAGCCTGGTTTGCGATTTTCGACACCGACTCCCTCCCCCCAAACGTATGCTCTTCGTTTCAGGGGCTTCTGCGAACTTTTGCGATGGTCCCTTATGTCCGCTCCCTTAATAATTTTGATCGCGCTAGTAAAACTCTTGTCTCTATGCTCCTCATACTTTCCTCGCCACGTGTCCATTGTTTAGATTTTCTGCTCGCGTAAGATCTCCACGAAGTCGTTCCGCAGACGCCAGTTGCCACGAAACTTGTCCCACTTGTGGTATTCCTGGGATCCGCGATGCTCAGGAAGTGAAAGACTGAAAGCTTCTTTGCGGCAGCCTTCAATGCAGAGAACGCACGGGGAGCACCCCTTTGCTGCTGTGGTGCAAAAGCTTACGATTTTTGATTGATGCAGCTAGCTGCTGCAGCGTATACAGCGTACATACATACTTCCTCCGCGTCATTAAAATTGTCGCTTCGCACATCGCAATATTTGTGACTTGGCTCGTCTTAGTCAGACTGTCGGAATCGCTGTTTTCTGTGTTCGAACACT